ATATATATATATATATATACATATATATATAATTTTAAAAAAATCTAATTGACTACAAGGCTACAAAGATTTATAATCAATTAAAATATTGATTAAGAAAATAGAATAAAAATTATTAAATTAGATTCAAATAATGTTTTAATATAAATAATAATTTTTAAATCTTGTTCAAACACTTATTGTATTATGGTTACATGATTAGGGTTGTTAAAAGGACTCTTTGTTTGTGAACAGTTCGTGTTCGTCTCGTTAAGCAAATGAGTCGAACACGAACACACTTTTTGAGCTCGAAATATAAACGAGCCTCGTTTACACCCCTTCACAGTGGTCTGCAGAGACTGGAAGTTATCGTAAGACTTCAATATGGTATTGCAAGTTTTTGTCGTATTTGTGATACCTCATTAACAAACCCTAACTTACAGAAGAACACCCAAGTCTTTCTTCTGGTTGAAAAATTCTATTGCATTCTACGCAGATTCATTAAAAGCATTCATTTTAAAAAATTATTGGAAAAAGATTAAGGATTTGATTGCCCTTCAAAAAAAGCATCCATTAAGAATAAAATTAGAAAATCTCGGCCCACATGAAAATTAAATGGATATCAGTTTTGGATCCTAATGAATTATTTCATTTTTATGTTATCACTTTAATAGAATTCAATTAATATATCACAAGTTTGATCAATAACTTATTTGAGTGTAAAATGTTTAAAATTATGATTGTTTTTCAAAAACTTTATTTATTTGTTATTTCTTACAATCTACTCTTTAAGTAACGATTTAAAATACATATAAACATTTTCGCTTATTAACGAAGCTAACTTTGAATAATTCTCTCCACAAATTATCTGAAAAATCTATGATTAATGCTAGACTTGCCTATAGAATTTTGCCTTCATTAATACGTTTTTCTGACTCGACTCCAAGACTTGCGTTAAACTTTTTATGAAATTGATAGATTATCACATATTTAAATCTCTAATTAAGGCTATCGTTGTGCTTATTTCTTATATTTTTACTTATTCTTATGATAAATTTATACATGCTAGAATGTGCTTTTTAACCTACTGCCTCGAACTTGATAGAAGCAATCAACAAATGACATGATATCAATTTAATGACAGGAAGAAAGCAGAAAAATAAGCCCTTAATATTATCTCATATATAACTGATTTCGTTCTCCATTGCATGACAATACCTGACATAAGCGTAATTTCTATTACAACCCGTACTATAATTTCACATTATTACATACTTTTTATCTACTAGAAAACCCCAGTAATGACCATCGATTGGTCTTATTCTTCAGTAATCATAGCTATAACATGATACATTCGTGCAAGTAAAATAAAAACAGGATGTCGGCCACTCTCACAAACCTCAACGGTCGAATTAGTCACCACCACCACCAAGATTGTGGTTGTGGCCACCTCCTGTCTCTGAATACTATTCAAAGGCGGCCATCACTTTCGCCGCCATTGCCAGCTGTTGTGAGATATGTACTTCTTGGCATAGAAATGAGACGCAAAGAACGCAAGCAAACACAGGTCGTTTACGTGGTTCGATCCAACTGGATCTACGTCCACGGGAGGGAATCAATCAAATATTTT